TAGCTTGCAGGCGCGCCAGTTCAGTGTGCTGCAGCCCCTGCACAAGTCAGCCCCATCAGCATACCCCATTTTCAGGGTACACCCTGGCATAAGGAGAAAAGGTGATACATACACATAATAATTGCCATAGCTGTTTAGGGAAGAAAAGGTTTGGAAGGCTCCAGGGAGATAACAGGAGATAACCTGAAAGAAGTGCAGGTAGAAAGGGAGAGCAGGAAATTTGCCTTTCAGCACACTGAGTTGCTCAGGTGGCTCAGAGCTTGCTGTGAAACCGTAACCTCTCATGAAGTTACCAGTCAGCTCTCCTCCAGAAAGAAAAAAAAAAAAAGAATGTTCATAAATTGCTTCAGAAAGGAAGAATGTTTATACACTATTGAAAAACTGTGCTTCCACTAAATTTTAGCAACTTTCTTGGATGCTTCCTGCATTATTTGGGTCTGTTTAATAAATGATGAGAGATTTAAAATCAAGTTTATCTGAGGAAACTCTTCCCTTCAAGAGTTTAACGACTGAAGCTGAGGATGTTTCATTTATAATCCGCTACTGTTCCTCAAGCAGAAATGTTTCTGTTCAGGCTTTTTTATACAGGCCATGTTGAGGTACCTTAAGCACAGTCAACCTAGAATTCAGTGAGACAGTTTAAGTACTCTGAGATAGCCAGTGACTCTCACTTTAATTATGGCCAGAAGAGCTACAGGAGGTAGAGAAGCTAACAGGACCCTTAGCAGTCTATATATCGTAGAATAATTCTTCTTACACAGTTACTTTTAACAACTGTAAAGCACTATACAGTGTGCAGGACAAGGCAGAATCGGGCTCTGTGTGGTTTTTTCACTTATTTTCTTGTTCAGAGCTAAGCCCAGCTGGTAAGCAAAAAGAAATGCCCATTAGCAAGTGTAAGGATCCTCCTGTCCTCACAGCTCACCTGCCTATAAAAGGTCCAGTCGCCTTTATCCCCTTGAAAGCCATTGCCTGCCTACTGAAGAAAAAAGAAAAAAAGGGGAAAAAAAAAGTTGTTATTTTGCTTTTTTAACAGCTTCTTAAAAATTAAACCTCCACATCCATATTTTTGAGAGACTTGTTTCCTTCTTAAATGCCTGGTACACCTGGAAAAGCTGAAAACAAGACAAAAGGTAATAGTCCATAGTTTTTTTTTTCAAATGTATCTTGATAAAAAATTGTAACATTTTGGCTAGGTTTGACTGAAAAAAGTACATAGTTGCCATCCATGAAACTTTGGCTGGCATTTTCAAAGAAGGTCATCCTAAGCAGCATCAGGCAGCATAGCCAGTTCCACTAGGACCAAGTTTTAGAAGGGGAACCAGGTACCCCAATGATAGAGGTAATTTTATTTAAAGCAGTGAGAGTTTATACACTGGATAGCTTTGGAGATTAAATGCTAGAGATAATGACATCAGAGGAAAGGGCTAATATATTGGAGAGTTTAGGATTGAGAAAAAGTTGTGGTATTTCAAGTGACAAATAAACACCTCTGCACATACTGAATGGATTGTGAAACATGCTGTATATACTGTGTTTGATACACAAACCACTTATTCTGTTTCATTCCTAATGAATTACATTTTTCAAAACATTTATACGCATAGAACAGAGAATTATTACCTTTAATGGCTCTGGAAAGAAATCATTGCATCTACATAATTGTCTAGTTATCTCAGCTGTTTTGTGCAGTCCAAAATCTGAAGAGACTACTCTGTACCCTTTCTGGGTTTATTTACTGCCAGCTATCTAAAGAACAAGTACACCTTGGGGTCTCTCTGATAAAGGGATATATAGTTTGCTATTAAAAAAATAATAGATGCAAAAAAAAATACCTGGGATTTTATACAGTATTTAGGGTATATAATTTCTTTATCTTATCATTATAGCTTGCAACTGAAATTACTTTTATTACTAGTACAGCTGACTAGGTCAGTTTATTTAACATTTTGGGATTGAGGGGAAGTGTATTGTTTATTTATTAACGAATAAGTTTTCATCCAATTAAAAAAAAAATCAAGTGCAGACCTATTATTCCCAGACCTTTCAGATGCTAATTCATTGCATTTCTACCATAGAAAAAATTGTATTTTAGTTATCAGTAGGCACTGGGCAGACAGGAGACAGTTGTGCTTTCTGTCCAAGATTGATCCTGAGGAGTACTGGGAGCTCCCAGCATCCACAGATGCATTCTCAGCCTTGTACCAGGAGAAGTACCACTGCTGACTCTTAGCTGTGTAATATAAACCAGTGCAAACGTGCTTTCCAAGTGACAAGAGTGTTTTAAAGAGTCACACTGTAATCACGGTGATGAATACAATTGATAGCTAGTTTGACTTTGATTTGTTTCCTAAGTTTGTACAATATTGTCAGTACAATTTCTGGTCCTGGCTTCCATTTTCCCAGTTTGCTGCTTTGTCTTGCTTTAGATAACTACAAACTGAATAGAAATTTTTGGTAATATTACAAATATATGCATTTTTAGTAACTTCACTGTTGCCATCAGCTCATTGCTCATTATACCTGCTCAGGAGACTGCCTCTTTCCAGATAAAACGTATTTCTGAGTATCCAATGTTACTGACCTGATGATTTCTGCCCCAGGACATGATGTTAACATGAAAAACGATAGGTAGAGGTTTCTGCATTTTTTTGCTATACAGCTGCATTTGCAAATGTGTTTCAGATGTAAAGGTCTTCTGTTATCATTTGTTGCTTTTTGAGTGTTTTATGTTTCTTGCTAGTCAGAAAAACTTATTCCTAGACCTTAAATGAGACCTTAAATGAAATTAGGTTGATGGAAACCTAATAAAACAGTGTGCAATATGCTGAAATGAGACTCTCTGAAGCAAGAATGTCTTTTTCTGGCTTTCTATTGTTTGGAAACAACATTAAGTGATGTAATTATTCAGTTTACTGTGAATGCACTATAGTCCTTATAAGTTTTCTCTTCTGCCCAAATGTTGTACTTACTAAAATGTCACTGTAAAATTATAAGCAGCAGATGTGATATATCATGCCATTCATAATATTATATGTTTTCAGTGAAGGAAGCTTCATGTTTTTCAGGTAGATTATTTCAGCGATATGCCTCTGTCAAGAGAGAAGCATTATGAAAAAACAGTTCTGAGAAAGCAGTGACATAAACATATTTTTGCCAACTGATTCCCTGTTTAAATCCAATTGAAATGAGGTTTTGTCTGAAGTGTCTGTGTTGTCTTTCTGTAGAGAGTGAAAATTGTTAAACAGATTGCTAGATTAGAAATCATAAAACTTAACTGTGACAGCAGCTCTAGGTGAGAATAGGAAAAACATATCATTACAAAGACATTGTCAAGCCTCTTATTCTTATTAGTAACTCCTTCCTTCACATACTGACAGGTGCTGACCTAATTTTCTTTGGAATGTTCATGCATGCTGCAGTGCAATACAGTTCACTTACTCCACTACACAGCCTGTGTTTTCACATATGTGTGGGTAGTCTCCTGAATACTTTCCTTAAGTGAGCTTGTTTCAATCAAATTCATGAAGGCAGGTGGTCCAAATCTCAGCACTCTATACCACAAGTAGCACCTTACTAGAAATCTCAGCAGATGACATTAGCAAACACAACTTAGAAACCTGTTTTCCACAGAAAAGATGCAAAATACATCCATCTCCATTAGGGCTAATCGCATCCAGATAGCAGTTCAGCTGCCCTGATAACAGATATTGACACTTGCAGATAGTATTGTTTACATGCAAAATAATTAAAATTTTGACTTCTCCCTGTGGAATAGTAACAGTGTATTATGGTATTCAACAACCCTGACGATGAACAAATGTCCAAAGGAATTTTAAGACTTATTGGTATGAAAGTGTCAAACAAACCTGTTTTAAACTTGAAAACAGAGAGAGAATCATTGAGTAATTTAGGTTGGAAAAAACCTTTAAGATCACCAAGTTCAGCTGTTAGCCCAGCACTGCCAAGTCCTCCACTAAACCATGCCCCCAAGTGCCACATCTACACATCATTTCAATACCTCATGGGATGGTGACTCAGCCACTACTTTGGGCAGCTTGTTCCAATGCCTGACAATCCTGTCAGTGAAAATATATCAGTTCTTTAAAGAAGAGGGGGTTTTCCAAATAGCAACTGCATGTGTGTTTTTCAAGACGGGCTATAAAAATGACAGGATAAAATGTGTCTTATAATTTATGGGTCATATCTGAGCTAAATTAATATTGTATCTATTTAAACATTAATGAAAAAAGTAAAAAGCCTATTTTTTTTGAAAGATTCCTGTATGCTTTGAGGTAGTTTAGATCAGGATCATTATGGAGAAAGGAAAATATCATCTTGATGCTGAAATAAACATTCAGTCTAATAGATGGTTGTAAAATACAGAAAAGAAAAGATTGTACTTTGGATCTTAGAAATACTTTCATGAAATTTCATGAAATTACAGTTTCAATATAAATTAAAAGGAAGCCTCTCACTACTATCTAACATGCTTCTAAAAACATCAATATTTACAAATGTTCACATCTAAATTAAGGGTATTTCATTGCACCATCAACAGTGTGGTGGTAAACATGTTGCTGTTCTGGACAACAGTTTATCTTGGCATTGGTCTTATTTGTGTCTATTAAACTGCAAATCATGCGAGAAATGCCAGACTTTCTCAAAGAAAACAGCTGGGCCAGGCCACTAAAGATTGCCAAACTCTTGAAGTCTGTCAGATTAGTTCAGTAAATGTGGTATGCCCATTGGTAAAGAAAACTATACCTATTTTTTAAAATTACTTTGAAGCTAAGAGATAATTTACACTTTGATTTTCTCTAAGGTTCAGTGAAGCCTTGAACAGGTCTTATTTTATCTAATCCAATTGTACCTCTCTTTAGTGATGATATATGTGTTTTCCATCACAGTAGGTGATATTTCAAATGTCTATTTTTGCCTTATCTGTGTGGTTAATTTCTTCTTGATATTTATGTTTCTACATGTTTTATTGTAGGAGAAATTCCAAATCTTTCAGTTAAGTCTTAAAATTGCTTCACATGAAGGAGGAAACCTTGATCAAAAGAAGAATGGTCTGACTCACAGGTCAGCTTCAGAATAAAGCCAAACCTAAAAAACAGTGATCCAGAACCTTTCCACGACCAGAAGAGATGAGCACTGAGAGGCCTTTCAACTTAATCAAACACCCAGGGCAGACAAGCATTCCTTCCCTTGAAAATATAAGTGATTTTTCCTTAAATGTCACTGACTGCATCCAGGTTGTGGTGCCAGAGGAAGTTTTTTTTACTGTTGCTGCTGCTGGGATACTGGAAAATCTGCTTATCCTTATTGCTGTTGTTAGAAATAAGAACTTGCATTTGCCCATGTACTTTTTCATTTGCAGTTTAGCCATTTCAGACATGTTAGGTAGCTTGTACAAAACTCTGGAGAACATCTTTATCATCTTGTGCAAAATGGGATACCTGACACGTCATGGGGACTTTGAGAAAAAACTGGATGATGCCATGGATTCCATGTTCATTCTGTCTTTACTGGGATCTATTTTCAGCTTGTTGGCTATTGCAGCAGATCGATACATCACTATCTTCTATGCTTTGCGGTACCATAATATCATGACACTGAGAAGGGCCTTGGTTATCCTGGCAGTCATTTGGACGTTCTGTGCTGGCAGTAGCATTGCCATTGCCCTCTTCTCCTATGAAGCTGCAACAGTCATTCCCTTCACTATCCTGTTCCCTCTAATGATGTTTTTTATACTGTGCCTCTATGTCCATATGTTCCTCCTGGCTCGATCTCATGCTAAAATGATTGCCTCACTGCCCACCAGCACAGTCCACCAGAGAACTAACATGAAAGGAGCAATTACGTTGACTATTTTTCTTGGAGTTTTCCTTTGCTGTTGGGCCCCCTTTGTTCTTCACATTCTCTTAGCAAGGTTTTGCCCACATAACCCTTACTGTGCTTGCTACATGTCCATTTTCCATGTGAATGGAACACTCATAATGTGCAATGCAATCATTGACCCTATGATTTTTGCATTTCGAAGCCCAGAATTGAGGAGTACATTTAAGAAGATGTTCTACTGTTCCAGGTCAAACTGGAACTGGAATTGGTAAACACTTAGTGAAAAATTAAGATTATAGAAGCACCTGTGGAGTGCTGTGCAACATCTGTTTGCAAAGTCAAAAATACCAACAAGTACGCCAACAGTAATACTTTGTATATTGCAGTGTATTACCAGTGATTTTTCAGAAGACGACCAAAGAATACATAAAAACCAACTATGCTTACAAATCTTTTTCAAGTAGACCTCCAGAGATATTACTAAGCTAATTCTGTTGACAATGTTCATGAAAGTTAAAAAAAAAAAAATACAGTCTTAACTATCTTTTGTCATTTCAGGAGAACTCAAATCTTCTGCATCCAGTGTTACATTACCACAGAGATGAGCCAACTCACTCTATATCAGTAATTTCAATTCAAGGTGTATACTACTTTAAAATTCTGTTGTTTAAATTGCAGTGAAATGAATATTTGTTTCTAAACTGTGCATTTGTATAAAAGTCTATGATTAAGCAGAAAATATGGATTTTGCTGAAAGAGTGAACTCATGACTCTTCTTTATCATCTAGTCTCCTTAAAATCATGCAATTAGTGACCTCTAAGTTTCAAAACAATTTTCGGAGTTAAGTCCAAGAGAAAAGGATATTTTGGACTGAATTCTCCAAATGTAAATGATAATGCAACTATATGATAAAATGTTAATGTCATGACATCTAAACATAGAGAAATAATCATTAAAGAAAGCACTATACATTTAGCCCTGCAATACACTATACATTTAGCATCCAAGACAGATTTATACCAAAATCCAAAATTCAGCAGTAAATTCTATTTAAAGTCCTTTGCTAAGGACTCATTCTCTTGTGGAGACTCTGGCAGTTAGGTGTTAGAAGGGTATCCACAGGAAAGCTGGGGGTGAACAAGGTCATGGCTACAGCAGACCTCAGATGGTGCCACCTGCTACTGCTTTCTTCTGCCACACCAGAATGTGGCAGCACAGGGTAGTCATCAGACAAGTGTGGTTTAGTCTGGAGGAAACAGGTCACCTTGGACCCAGCTGCCTTCAGCCCTCATCTGACTACCCTCAGCTACACAAAAGTCTCAGGAGCTGGCTGGTTCCAATCACCTTTTGCAACATTCCCAGGCCCAGGGCAAAGACAAGGAGTAGTGGTCACTCACAGACCCTGGAGCCAGAGCCCATCTCCCATCACTACACTGCCATCACTTTTCTTTGCAACAAGGACCTGGGCTTCTATCTGGCCAAACAAAATCCATCCTACAAGCTGTCATGGTTTGAGATAGTCCCAAAATCCAATCCCCTAGCTCCATTCCTCCCTCCCACATCTCAACCTAATGTGAGATGGGTTTTTCCAGACAAAACACACCAGACTCAAAGTGGGGGAAAGGGAATATATTACAATGACTGTACAAATAAATACCATATCACATTATACACATGATCACAAACTATCTCTACCATAACATATGTATTTACAGTGGATCAGATCTCTTCTCCCCTCCAAATAAAAGTCCAGGAGGGAAAGAAGGACAGATCCCTTCCAGTCTCTGAACAGCAGCATCTTCTGAGGCAGCAGTCTGTCTTCTTCACATGCATGCAGCAGCTGATGGCTGGCTTTCTGCCAGCATCCACGAGGGAGGTATCCAAGCCTCTCTCGGCCCCATCGCCTCACAACCGAGGGGTCTTCCGTGGGCTTCGTAACCCCAGACAAGGTCGTATCACCACGTCATATCACGAAGACACAGGGGGGTCTTCGTGACGGTCTGGTATCTCCAGGAGACTCAGCTCCTTGCAGGGCCTCTGTGCCCTGTCTCTCAGGCTGCCACCGTGGCAGCAGTGCAAGGGGGGGAGAGCCAAGGTCAACTCCCCCCGCATTCCTCTGGCCGTCCCGGTCCAGCTCCAGGACGCTCTGAGCTTCTCAGCTCCTCTCTCTCTCCGGTGCTGCATGTCTAAAACTCTTCTCCTAAATAGGAGTCCATGTCCCTCTTCTCCAAGAGGGGTCTCAAGGGAGTTTTAGGGGATCTGGTACAGTCTTACCCCCAGAACTCTGTCTCTCAGACTGCTGGCTCTCTTTCTCCTCGGCTCTCTTTCCAGGAGTCTTCTCTCTGCGGTGCTGCATGTTGTTTCTGCTGCTCCTTCAGTTCAGGTGTTATCTCTCCTGGCTCTCTGCCACCGTTTCTCTGGTCAGTGCCGGCTGCTGCTCTGTGCCCATGGAGAAAACATCTCCCGGCATAACTACAGACACCTAGCCCAGCTTTATGCTGTTCCAGGTCCCTGCAGCCCCCCAGCCAGGGGCTGGGAGGGCCCAGAGGGCCCAAGGGGCTCAGAGCCCCTTCCTCGTGGCTCTACAACATGGCCACCTCTCCTGCAACAATCCAAACTACAACCCATCTCTTCCGGTGAGCTTGTGATATGTTTACATTTCTGCAGGAGCGCCCATTGGACAGAACTCCAAAACTTCCAGGGGTTTCCACCCCTTGGGGTCTACCACTTAATTTAGCCTCTGGGGGAAAACAAGATTCAAACCATGACACAAGCACACCTTTGATCGCACTCCTCTTGTCCCTACTTCAGTGGCACAGCAAACTGTCCTCTAGTAACTCAACATCTGCCCAGTCCTTCCCTGACTGTCCCACTGTCTTTCCCAGCACCATCACCAAGCCTCCAGCCACCATTTATCTGCAAAACACAGAGCAGTTGTGGTTATGCAAGTTAGGGCCCAGCGAGATTTTTTTCCATCTCCATAAGGCGTCAACACCTGGACAGAAAATTTTTTACAGGTTTTATTCCACATTGTTTTCTTTGACTTAAAAGTATTTCTACAGTTACTCATGCTGGATCTCCTACTGCCATGAGATCCAAGCACTGTCCGGAACTGGTTCCCACTAGAAATTAACTGCCTGTTCTTTGTAACCTACCTGGTCTAATCTCTGGAAACAGTCAGATCAACACCTGGGAGCATTTGTTCCTGTCATGATGCCTGAGCAACACCTAAATCTTTGTGATTATGTCTGTAAATTGATGATAGACACTTGATGGCTGTTACTGTCAGAGTCTGCCTCTAACGCCCAGACAACCAGCAAGACTGGGAAAAAGCTGCAAGGTAGCCAGGTTGCAAACGATGAGAACTGCCTGTTGTTCTCCATTTTTGTCTTAGAAACAACAGAATTTGCCATTTTTACTGGGTAAAATTGTAAGAAAGACAGATCTTCTCTGCCTTTGCAATGTAACTGAAATCTGTGATGAAACCAGGGATTGTGGTAGAAGAGCCAATATAAAATTCAAAAGACATATAAACCTTTTTTTCAGGTTGCACTGGTTATGATTAAATGAAGCATTCTCTTGAAAATATTTCCTTTCTGGAGACAAAGAGTCAGGAAGAGCACAAAATATTCTTGTATAAAAAAGTTTCTAGAAAGATTTTATTTTTTCAGTCTGCCTACATTTGTTGCATGCCAGCAGATGGGTAAATCTCCATACATTATCTCCTAGCTGACTAAATTTGACTTGCATTTTAGTTGTTCTGCAGTGTCCAAGCAAGTCTCTCTGTCTCACATACTAATATCTTCATATATTTCCCTATGTTACTCTTTGAACAGGTTCTTTAAGCTATGATTTGTGAACCTTTAATCATATTGTGCTGAAGTTATTATTGAAATTCTCCTCTGATATATTAATGTATAACAGTGAACACTTTCCTCAGATTTTGGGACTTCCCTTCATCTGCCCAGCTTTAAATTACAAATGTTTGGGAGCCAGAACTGTACCTTAGCTTTGAAAGAAAAAAGTTCATTTGGATCCTACCAGAAGCTAACAAGCCTGAAAGGAACATCTAGTCCTTTGAAAATCACAATCAACACTACAATCAATGTTTCATTTGGAGGCATCCACAGAACTTCATAGCCTCTGGCAACAAAACATTTCCTAGTCACTTTTACTGCAAAAACAAATAAGAAAAGCTCCTCCTCTGTTTTTGTTGTTTTGAACTGAACTTCATGTTCAGTAATAAAGTGAACAAATCTGATAAAGACACCCAGGGGAATTAATTCCACTGGAACAGTCAGGATGACAGTGAGAGACAAACTTGCAGAGCAGTTTTATTTTGGTCACAAATTAGCAAGACAAATACAGGGGTTTTGTGAGAAAATATAGTTGAAAGTTTATTCATGTGAGAAAAATCTTGTTTCAGTGAATTATTGTCCTGGGAAAGACTTTCAGAAAAATAGGTGCCTTAGACTCCTATTTGCTGAACAAAATTTCAGTTTCTCAAACAAAATTAAACTCTTAAAATTCTATTTATTCAAATAGAATTGTAGCTAAGTAGGGTATGTTTTTTAATTCTTTCCAAGGTAATTGCAGCAGATAGCACCCATTGCATCTGTATCACTCAATAGCACTTTAATATGCCTTCGTTTGAAGTGGCATCTTTTCAAAATATACAATGCTGTCAAGAGCTTCAGATTCAAAGAGGATGACTCAAAGTACAATTCTGGAGAATAGAATGTGACCACTTAAGAAAACTTTTCATGTCCATTTGAAAGCAGTTTTCTCATGTCCATAAATCCCCTCACCTCTATAAGACAAAGATCAGGCTGTTGAGCTGTCATACATAGTCTAATGAGTGACCATTAACTATCAAGTAATTCTGGATAACCCATCTGGAGTACAAATGGCTACTGAGTAACTAAAATTATTTATTGTTTTCCATAATTGACTATGAGATGGGTTTGTTACACCACATTTGATTGCTCCATCAGCACCTTTATGCTATCATTTGCTACCACCTCAACAGTTACACCTAAACTTTGTATGAACTATCTGGATAAAGGTAGAGTTAGTCAAAAACCACTTGAGAACAAGAGGAGTTACTCCATCGTCAACTTCACACCCTCTGACAACCTGACCAAGGATGGCAGAGATGGAGCACGTGACCTGGGTGGATACTTGTATGGAGATTGCAGATGTAGTAAGCTGCATAGAAAGGTTTCCAGAACAAAAAGACAGATTGCCCTGATGGATCCCAGAGGAGCCCCATGGCCACTGGCCCCCACAATGCCCTGACTCTGCCTCTTACAATGTCAGGCAGTTAAGAGACACTTTCACAGAGTCT